GTCTGTCCTCAGAGGCATCATATTTGTTAGATGTCTATGGACTGCAGCTATCTCTTAGCATCAGGTGAGCTAATTAAATTAAAAAAAATTTAAAGTTAACACGCGGCGTAAACTCCTCCTCATTTTTTGAAGTCGGCTAAAAATCATTTTTACTTTTTGCTCTTGCATTCAGCTTTAACAGTGATTAATGTCGTAAAGATTATAAAGCTCATAATCTCTTTGATTGTAGTGCACCTAATACCAAAACCAAACACGTCGTTGTTAATAAATTTTTTTTATAGAAAAGTTACGGTAACGATAAAAGAGTAACTGACGGTAAGCGACTGTCGCCATTCATTAACATCTGATATATATATATATATATATATATATATATATATATATATATATATATATATATATATATTATGTTATCGCTTATGCATTGACTTGCCTCAACAGGGCGAATAGATATAGTATAATACTGTTATTATATATAACTAAGAAATGTATTCGAAGAAAAAGGTATTTTCACTCTCACTAATATTTATATTTTAGAAATATCACTTTTTATCAAACAGAATGGCAACTATTTTCAGATCAACGTCCAATACGCAGTAAATATAAGCATAATTTATATACACCTACAATAAATAATTATATGGATTATAAGAGCACCTTTTGCACAGGTATTAAAATATTTAATCATCTGCCACCTGATATAAAAGCCATGGACTTGCCAAAATCCTGTACCTTTCAACGAGCAATTCTTGTATATATATATATATATATATATATATATATATATATATATATATATATATATATATATAATCGCAATCTCGGAAACACAGAAGGCTCCAACGATTTTCATAAAACTTAGTGTCCAGGGAGTTTCGTAGGCAATAAATCGATCTAGCTAGAATTAATTTTTAGTAAATGTCTTTTTATCCGTGTTTTCAGGCAATGAAAATCTTGCTACAATATAAGAAGGAAATTTTTGACACCGTGTTAATGATCGTAATAGCTCAAGTGTATATCGAGCGGTCGCGAAATCGTAATGCCTTGGTTCGCGTCCTGGTTTCGGTCCGACTTTTTTTTTCAAGTTCCCTTCTTTTGTGAGAAAATCTATTATTTCGAGCCCTTATTTTTAGTATTTTTTAAAAATACGAAAATTTTAATTAAACTAATTGCGCTCATGATTTTTATTCAAATAACCACTTCAGTTTTTTCTATTATATCAATAAGATCAAAATATAGGATTCATGTTTCATCAGTATGTAATTTGTATCTAAATATAATTTCAAAGCTCGGTCATCCAGGTACTTTAAAATACAACTAAAAATGGTTAATACATAATGTTTTTTATAATTTAAATGAATATTTTAATACCAAATAATTTATATTATTAAGTTTTGTTTCTCAATTATTGCATACCCGATATGGGTAAACCGTGTAACATTTAATTGCAATGTCACCCGCAAATTGTACATACCTACACAGTTTATTGGCAATAAATATTCTGATTCTGAAAAAAAAAACATAGTCTTATTATTATACCAGTTCATATTACCAGTGATGACTTATGGATTTGAGACGTGTTCCTTCACTGCTGGCTGTATGAGGAAGCTCTAGGTCACTGAACGGGCTATGCTCGGGGTTACTCTGCGTGATAAAATTTATAGACGACACACACGGTCAGTTCAACTGATCATTCCAACTGATCAGTTCAAACTAGGACTGTTGATATTTTTTAAAATATCGGATTTTCGATATATCGATAAATAAACTTAGTCCTAGTTTGAACCGATCAGTTGAACTGACCGTGTGTGTCGTCCATTAGAAATGAGGGTATCCGCAGTAGAACCGGAGTGACCGACATAGCCAAAGGGATTAGTAAGCGGAAGTTGCAATTGGCAGGCCATATAGCTCGAAGAACCGACAACCGATGGGGAAAAAAGATTCTCGAGTGGCAGCCTCGTACCGGTAGGTGAGGTGTAGGGCGACCCCCCACTAGATGGAGTGACAACCTAGTGAGACACACAGAAGGCCAATGGATGCAGGTGGTTTAGTTCCGTGCTTTGTGGCATTCCTTAAGGGAGGCCTATGTTCAGCCGGGGAATTGTGAAATGCTGTACGCGAAGACCTATCAATAATCTAAGGCTTGCGCTTTTATTTTTAGCATAGTATTATAATTGTTTGTTGTCCTTTTCCTTAAACATGATATTTTGACTTTAAATGGTAGGATACTTCATGCGCCTAATTTAAATTTCGTTGCGGTCGAAGCCAGATACACATGACGTATACTACACATCCTGTTATTGTTATAAACATAATTCAAAATATAAATAAATAAACACGTAAAATGGTATATATTTATATAAATTTGTAGAAGAAAATTTTTCATTTACTACTGTTTCAAGATGAAATTCTCAAAGCAGAGGAGAAATACCAAAGGAAAAACCGCAGGTATTCCTTTTTAGGTATATTTTATATTATATATGGCTATGAACTGATATTTTATGGCTATGGTCATATTATATAAGCTATGGGTTTTTATTTTTTATTTTATGGAATAAGGGTGCAAACGAGCACTCGGTCCACCTGTCCTTGATTAAGAATCCCTCGCCTCGTTTCCAGTAAAATTTGTCTCCGGTTCTCCACAAACACCATGCGAAACATAGCAGCATTGAGCTGCTATTTTACGCTGATATTCTGTGAGTGACTTTTACTTCTTATAAAATCTTAACTTTTTTAATCTATCCATACCAATAGATTTTTTTAATAAAGTACATGTGTATTATATTATATAGGCTAGCATAATAATTAATAACTATCCTGTGATAAGAACAAGATTTAGAAATTTTAAGCTTTTAAAAAAATCTATTCCCAGCAGTTAATGAAAACATAAACATAAAATACATAGATCCGAATACTACCACCGAGTAGTGGCGATAAAAAAATATCCACTACCCCAAATCGTGAGTGTCGTAAGAGGCGATAGAGGTACAAACTGACATTGCCGACCCGCCAGCCAAGCTTGGCAACTGTGGCAACTGTGGCAAAAATCCAGCTTGTAAGCAATCTATGGGGTAGATTGATATGGATGATATGGGGTAGAGTCTATTTTAGTGGATTTGATATGCTGTAATGGTGCATTCGAATTGTAAAACATATTCTTTTTTAAATTGGTTAAAAATGAATTACAATATTCGTATTATACTAAGAGAACCATGAAAATTAAATTAATAAATAATAAACTTACGACGGAACGAGTGAGAATGTACTAGGTATAGATAGAACCGTACATTCGCTTTAAATTCAATTTGGATAAACCAGAACGTATAGAATATAGAATAACAAACTTAACCAAATTTCGCACATAAATTAATTCGTTTATATGATTATAGTTAAATATCAACCTAACCAACGCTGCAACTTTATCATAGTTGCAGCACGAATAGGTCTACTCAAAAGAATAGAAAAAAATTTTTGTCCCACATAAATCATTGCACGCTGAAGTTTCACGTAAACGTAAACTCACTTCCCAAAAAATTTTGGCACGGGGCCGAATCTCAATAAAGCGTTAAAAGTCGCACTTACGAATTCTTGCGATGATGTCACTATCGCGATAAGTGAACGCCGATACGGATTCGTTGTTATAACTCGACAACCTTCGCAATCTTTACGCCTTTGCAACGTAAAGTTTACTGCCTCTTATTGTAGTATTTTAAAATGTTTAAAATATAGCAATGAAGCAAGATTTAATAATAAAATATATATTTCCCACTCATTTATTTATTTATGGGTTTGTAATAATTTACTTTTCTTTGGCAACCTCACACCAAAAGCACGTAACGAATGATATCCGTTTTGATTTTCGATGCACTTGCCCAGCATCTTACAAAAATTATAAAATTTTAGAGTTTTGCAATATTTTTAAATAATTATTAAACAGTATCAAATAACTAAGTGTTTGTTCAACCACAGCTAGATTTTGCCCAGGTAACATTCATCAGTTTCAGAATTTATGTGTGTCGGTCAAAAGATCGTCAATGTATTTATTAGAAACCACCATCGATATTATTAATATTATGACACATTTAACATGTTTTGTAGGCGAGTGGTGATCTCATCGATTGATTCTTAAGAATATCATGACTAAAAATGTACATTAAATGCGAGAATTGATATAATTGTAAAGTAATGAACGTCGTAATTGAATTATTCTTAACTAAATAAATTAGCAGAAATTTAAATTGATTTAAACATAAAATTAGTCACAAGGAACTTGAAGAATATGGTGTAACCATAATAATTAAGGTTAAATAAACAACATAATCTATCTACTAATTTATTTTTTCACCTTATTCTAATAAGTCAGTATAAAAATAAAGAAACAATGCGACGATGGTAGAGCCATTTGTGTGAAAAGAAATAAACATTATTTAAAGTAAGGACCCAAATAATTAGAACATTTTGTAATTACCTCGATTTCTTAACAATATAAATGGAGACATTAAACTAAAATTAATTATAATTGAATCGTACGCAATGTTCCCTGCGTTTCAATAGCATTATAATATTTCTAGGACGACTGCTTCGCTTTATCTCGTACGCTAATAACATTGTAATAAATCTGTGATGTCAGCTATCTAAGAAAGAGCAAACGAAGAGATTGCATGAGTGTCGATTTGCCTCATCGAGACTAGTATAAATGACATCAACATATAAATTAAGTTTCCGGTAATAGATTCCAAAATGTAAACGTAGACGTAGAGACGGAAAACAGCTCTACATTGCGACTAAAATATTTTAGGTATGCTATTTATCAAAATTGTTTATTCAGGTGTAATTGTTTAAGCAATGACTTAAATATGAACACCTTAGCTTATTTTACATAATTATCATAATATTATAAAGTTCTAGAAAAATGGCATAAATACCACCAGATACTCTACTATCTTTAAAAGGTTTTTTGCGAATATTGGCTAAGATATTTTAATCTTAACAATACTTACATTTTTCTGTTGCCATCTACATGGGCTTGCACAGTAAATCCGAACATGGATTGATAGTTTCCCCTGTAAACTACCCTGGAAGGGATGTCTACATTAAAACCTAAGGCTCCGGCGCACGTGCATAAAAATACACACAAAAACAACGCCATCGTTACAATAAAACTTGAGTCACAGCACAGCACACAAAACACTATTTACTTAAGTAATTTAATATAATTCGTCCTCATGATTCGTTCGGAAAGTTGTTACGAGTTCGTGGTCGTAAGGCTGTCGACCGGCGTTACATCCACCCTATACGACGGTCGGCTCAACACTGGCGCGAAGCGAGAACCGCGAACTGCGATGCAAGGCCGCGAATGAGGTAATTCTACAGAAAATAAAATGGGAAAATGTTTCACGTACGAAGGTTTTCGCGAGTTTTCTCAGTAAGATGAGTCTAACGTAACGAGTGACTATTTCTGCTTCAAGTCCTTGACTATCAATAATATTGAGTCAGGTCACATTATCTCATGACCGTGTAATAATTAAATATTCCATTTATGAATATAACCTTTAGCGATTTATACACGGAGTTGAAAAGGTCGAGTAATTACGTCATAATTATACGGATAACTTTAAATGAAAATATTTGAAAACGGCATGTATTTCTCGTAATCGAAAATAGGGATTTTCTATAGTTTATAGCATTATTAAAAATATCCAGTGGTATATGGATAAATTTTAAATTTGAGTAATAGCCGAAGTCGGTGCTAAACAAATTGCGTATAGGAATTAAAGTCCCGAATTCAGAAATAGTTGTGGATATGGAAATTATTCCATTACCTTTTTCTTTAAGTTTTATTTTTTACACCTTTATGTAAATTAAAAAATACTCAAGCGTCGCGTATCATAACCATATTATATACGTGTCGCGTGACATACATACAAAAAAACGTAGATTCGAACAGCGTACCTCCTCGTTTTTTGAAGTCGACTAAAAATGTAATACACCATACAAGACATTACAGTTTCTGAAACTGTCTACAGATCAAGTCACAAAACCCAAGCCAGTTCAAGTGACTCAGCTTCATAGTCATATAAGAAATGACTAACATTAAATTGAAGCAGTTAATCAAGACTAAAGGAAATCTACTAGAAACTAGAGGATTACCTTATCTCTATATACTTATAGAAATCAATTGCTGACGTTAATCTCGCTGAAAACAGAAAATGGCTCGACCGATTTTGATGATTTTTTGTGTGTATTTAAATGGGTTCCTGGATGGTTTTAAAATCCAATTGAAACCGGTAGGTGACGCTGAGAAGTCATCCGTGTCATACCGGTTTGGACCGCTAGTTACTATACACTAGCGGTCGAAAAAAAAATTCAATAAAAATGTAAACCTATAGGTTAAGAGCGATTGTCCACTGCCGTCGTCACCGGTACGTCAACGAGAACGAGATGAAGGCGAAAGGCGCCGAGGTAGCATCACATATATTTACTATAGCCGCCTGTCCACCGCAAGCCCATTACCGGAGCGCCGTCATCCACCGCCGCCGAAGTGTAGAGTAGACCGGCGCGACCGCTACGACTAGTCCCGAGATTGTGACGGGCCGATGTATCGGCAATACAAAACACATTTACACTTGTCCATCCCATAGAATATTATAATACAGTATTCTATGGTCCATCCACACTGGCGCCGTGACGTAGCACCGGGCCGACACACAACAACTACTACTAACTGACTGATCATAGAAATAAAAACAACTTAATTCTTATATACTATATGACCGACACCGTCGCGGTGGACAAACGATCCCCGTCATGTCGTCTTGATCTCGGCCAGAAATAATCTGGTTCTCGTTGAGGTCCCGGTGACGGCGGCGGTGGACAATCGCGTAATCATTGCTGATCGGCGAACATAATTTCTGAGTCCATCGTCCATACGCATTCAGTATTTTGTCAATATTGCCGTCATAATATGTAGGAGGGCTGTGACTAAAACAAAGATTAATTTTAACAAATATGGGTACCAGACAGTGAATTTTTTATATACCGTCTGTTGTGCAGTATGAGCTCAAGCGTTGTCGTGCAAGAGCAGCGGGACGACCGATTGACCAAAGCTGGTTGAAGTCGTGCGAGCTTCTCAATAATTGTGTTCAGCTTTTCACCGTACACATCTGTAGTAATGATCATCCTGTTTGGTAAGAAGCTGTGATGAATCACACCGGCGCGGTGCTAGATCACCCAACAGTGACCATCACTTTTCTAGGGGTAAGGCTTCGTTCAGGGCATTATTTAGGTGCTGAACCAGGAACAAACGAGCTTACAGCCCACCTGATGGTAAGTGGATGCTGTGGCCTATAGTCATCTTCATCAATCCTCGATTAAGAATCAAGATGCAGATGTGTTACCACCCCTGAGGACTACGATGGAATGCCTCGTTTACAGTAAAGAGGCTCTCCAGTTATCCACACTCACGACACAAAACACAGCAACATTGAGCTACTATTTCACCCTGGTATACTGTGAGAGCGAGGCCTTCCCCGGTCGAGTCGACCCATTCGTGCTACAACCATAACATAGCTATATAATATAGATTGTCAACAGAATCCAATTTTCGTCGCAGGTAACAAACGTACGTAGCTGAGGCGGTCCGCAGGGCCCCGAACTGGAAAATTACGGGACTCGATTTAGAGATTAGATGATGCATTCTATAAGAACGTCATTTCTTGTGATAAAGGGCTTACCACTCTATCCTGAGCCAACGAGGCAAAACCCGACAGTACAGAGCATTTTCGGTCGTAAGACAGTGTGGTAGGAGAAGGAGCTCCATGGGAGGTTCTACAAGGCTCTACATGAACCTTTCGTAGATACGGTCGCCCCCTTCACTGGCTACGCGTCGGTAACATCTTTCCGGTAACCGAGGATTTTGTCTGTGCGATACAGGATCAGGTAATTAAGACCAACAACTATCGGAGATACATCCTACAGGATAGCCCCGTTAACATCTGTCGAGCTTGTCGCCATCCCGGTGAATCACTTAGGTATGTCATCTCCGGTTTTTCTGCTCTTACAACTCTTATTACTTGCGTAGACACAATCTGTGTAGTAGCCAGGATTCTACTATAAATATATGCTGGAAGCCGTGTTCGAAAATGACCGCGTCAGGCTCTACTGGGACCGGGCCATCATCACAGACTGGACTATTCTTGCGAATAAGCCTGATATCGTGCTGATGGACCGGGCACAGTCAAGGATATTTTTGGTCGACATTACCATTTCGTATGACGAAAAACTCGTGAAAGCCGAAACCAGATGAGAATAATTTATAAACAGCCCATAATAATGTCCTCCAGACCGAATTTCAGTCAAGGCGGCCAGCCTCAACGGAGACTAGTTATCGGCGCTGGACAGGATTGTAGTGCCCAAGTGTATGCGCAAGTACAGGGTGACAAACGAGCACACAGTCCGCCAGTGAATGCTGTGGCCCATAGACATCTGCAATAATCCTCGATTAAGAATCAAAATGCAGATGGGTTATCAACCCTGGGGACCAAATTGCAATGCCTCAATTCCAGTAAAACGGATCTCCGACATGGTTGCTGTTTCAAACGTACCAGATCTAGCGTGGTTGAGTTTACTAATATTATCGTTAAGAGCGTTAACACCAAATAAATGCAATCAGCATGTAAAGCTTAAAATAATCTGATATAGATTTTTTTTATAGGATAAGGGTGAGAAACGAGCACACAGCCCACTTGATAATAAGTAGTTGCTTCGGCCCATAGACATCTACATCAATCCTAGATCACAAATCAAAATGCAGATGCGTTGTCACCTGTGAGGATTAAGATGTAATGCCCCGTTTCCAATAAAATGGGTCTCCTGTTCTCTACATTCACCATACGAAACACAGCAGCGTTGAGCTGCTATTTTACGCTGGTATTCTGTGCCTTCCCCGGTCGAGCCGACCCATTCTTACTACAACTCTACTACTGATATAGCTCCAGCATGACTCCACCACGTCGAAATCAATTAAATGTTTCCATGTCAACCCAGGTTGAGAACTCTTGTGCTAATCGCACTGATTGCTGGCGGCCGCGAAGATAAGATGAAAACCATTTCAAAGCTGGGATTGAGAATCTAAGATTAGTTCCTCCGTTACAGCCTATTAAAGTACACCGCTGAACATAGGCCTCCCTCATAGATTTCCTGATAGGAAGGATACTTGCCATAGTTACCACGCTTGGCTAGCGGGTTGGCAACCGCAGTTTTTATTTTAAGTCATTATAGGGAAGACGCCGTTGCCCATCGCCAGATCTATTTCCCTCTGTTTCCTCCCACGGGATGATATGGGGTCGTGGATGTTCTTACACCGCCACTGCACGGCAAGATTAGTCAGGAAGGCTATAAATACGTGTAGTCATCTGTGTTAAAAGCACTTAAAAATCAACAAGCACTACCACTGTAAACTTCTGTTCATAAATTCTAATGTCGTCTGTGACTTTTATCAAGGCAGTGGTACTGCGACCTGAGCAAAAGCCTGACTGATATTTATTCAACAGGATATGTTTAATTTTGAACATAAAGATTATGTTAAAACAGGCTTTCAGAACTTCAGATAGGTATGGCAAAATTGAAATTGGTCGAAAATGGATAGGAAATGCGGGATTGGGTATTTAGGAGTAGGATATTGGCCTGAGTGAAGAGAATAGTTGACGATATACGTGAGTGCAGGTAAAAGGCACTCAAGGATTATGGATATCATAACCTTACTAACGTCATTAAAACCCACCACTTTGGATTTAATTGCTAATTCTGATTTCGGAATCTCACCCTCAATCACAGGTAAGTACAAAATAGGACGAGAAGTTATGGATTCAATGGAAACTATTATTATAGAACGAACTGTAGGATCCAAAGAAGTAGAGATAAAGTAATTTTTTTTCATCCAGAGGGATTGATGGACCATGGTCAGATATGAATAATAGCCTTACTGATACCTAGTGTTTTAATAAATTTCTATAAGTCAGCAGTCGAACAATTTGTAATATTACTATGGGAACGGCGTTTAGCATTTCTTACGACCTGATTACATCTGTTTCTTAGCAATTTGTAGTAATCCTAGCTCTCCTGATTACGACGCTTCTTGAATGTCACAAA